AAAAAATCTTCCAAGGAAATAGAAAAGAAAAAAAAGGTGGGGTAGCAATACTCATATCCAATAAAATAGACTCTAAAATGAAGGCCATCATTAGGGACAAAGAAGGCCACTAAATAATATTGAATCTATACAACACAAGGATATAACCTTGGTAAAGATATATGCATCAAATGTAGGAGCACCAAAATATATTTTAAAACTTCTGGAGTACTTCAAAGGAGAAACTGACAACAATACAATCATAGCATGGGACTTCAACACCCTGCTGACATCACTGGATAGATCCTCTAGACAAATAAATTTAAAAGGAAACAGAGACTCTAAATGATGAACAACATCAAATGGATTTAAAAGACATTGACAGAGAATTACAACTCAGAACTGCAGATTTTACATTATTCTCAAGTGCTCATAGGACATTTTCAAAGATACAGCACATGTTAGGACACAAAGTAAGTCTCTACAAGTTCAAAAAGACTAAAATCATATCAAGCATCTTTTCAGATCACAATGGCATAAAACTAGATATCAATTAACACAAAAACATTCAAACATATGGAAGCTAAATAGCATGATATTAAACAATAAATACATTACCAAGGAGATCAAAGAAGAAATTAAAAACTTCCTGGAAATCAATAAAAATAAAAACACAATACAAAATCTCCGAGCAAACAAAAGCCCAGGCCCAGACAGCTTCACAGGAGGGTTTTACCGAACATTCAAAGAACTAACACCAATTCTCCTCAAACTATTCCAAAAATTTCAAGAAGAAGAAAGACTTCCAAACTCATTTTATGAGGCCAGCATAATTCTAATTCCAAAACCAGAAAAAGACACTACAAAGAAGAAAAACTACAAGCCAATATCCCTGATGAACATAGATGCCAAAATCCTAAACAAAATACTAGCAAATCAGATCCAGCAATACATCAAAAAAATTATTCATCACGACCAAGTGGGATTCATCCCAGAAATGCAAGGCTGGTACAATATGCACAAAGCAATAAATGTGATATACCACATAAACAAAATCAAGAATAAAAACCACATGATCATATCAATAGAAAAAGCATATCACAATATCCAGCACCCATTTCTGATAAAAATGCTCAGCAATGTGTGAATAGAAGGATCATATTTTGACATAATAAAGGCCATATATGAAAGACCTACAGCCAATATCATACTCAAAAGGCAAAAGCTAAAAGCATTTTCCTTAAAAACAGGGACAAGGCAAAAATGCCCACTTTCACCACTCTTACTTAACATAGTACTGGAAGTCTTAGCCACAGCAACCAGTCAGGAAGTAAAAATAAAAGTGATCCAAATTGGAAAGGAGGAAGCGAAACTGTCATTATTTGCAGATGACATAATATTATACATAGAAAACCCTAAAGACTCCATCAAAAATCTACTAGATTAATAAATGCATTTGGCAAAGTAGCAGAATACAAAATTAACGTCAAGAAATCGAAGGCATTCTTATACACCAATGAGGAACTCACAGAAAGAGAAACTGAAAAAACAATCCCATTACCACCATCACGGCAAAAAAATTTAGATACCTAGGAATAAACTTAATCAAAGAAATAAAGGACCTATTTGCATAAAACTTCAGGAAATTAAAAAAAGAAATAGAGAAAGATATAATAAAGGGGAAGCACATACCTTGTTCATGGATTGGAAGAATTAACATCATTAAAATGTCCATATTACCCAAAGTAATCAATACATTCAATGCAATCTTCATCAAAATACCAACAACATATTTCACAGAACTAAAACAAATACTTCAAAAGTTCACATGGAACAAAAAAAGACCCCGAAAAGCCACAGCAATCTTGAAAAAGAAGGACAAAGTAGGTGGGATCACAATACCAGATATCAGGTTATACTACAAAGCTACTGTAATCAAAACAGCCTGGTACTGGCACAAGAACAGGCATATAGACCAGTGGAACAGAACAGAGAACCAAGAAATAGACCCAAGACATTCCTAAGAAGCCTGAAACACCAATCAGAAAAAATATATGTACTCCTATGTTAATAGCAGCACTATTTACAATTGCTAAGATCTGGAAACAGCCCAAGTGTCCATCAATACATGAGTGAATAAAAAAGCCATGGTACATATACACAAGGTGGAACACTATGCAGCTGTAAGAAAGAGAGATCTCTAATCCTTTGAGATGATATCAAGGGACCTGGAGAGTATTATGCTAAGTGAAATAAGCCAATCAGAGAAAGTCAAATATCACATGATCTCACTTATCTGTGGAATATAATGAAAAAAATAAGGTAATAAACAAAATATACCCTGAGACATAGAAAGGAGTCCGGTTCAGACTGACAAACCTCGGGGGGTGGGGGTGGAGTGGGGTTAGGGTTAGGGTTAGGGTTAGATAAACCAAAGAACTTATATGCATGTATGCACAACCAATGGACACAGACAACAATTCACAGGGGGCCGGGGAAAGGAGAATGTCCAGGGGGAGGAAAGGAGAATTGTCTGTAACAAAAATAAATTTTAAAAAATTGCAAAAAAAATTATTTTAATTTGGAAAAATGAAAATTGAACTATATTTATTCTGGTATTCTCACATAAAAATATATCGCAAATCTATTTTTAAAAGTGAAAACAGACCAGGGTCTGTAAGTATATCTAGGACCCATCTTGGTATGCTAGTTTTATTCGAGCTAAATTTGCATTTGTTCCTTAATTACAGTGCTGAACCAATACTTTACCAAGAGAAAACAAATTAATTCTTGGCTCCTGCAGATGTTCTCTTATTTCTTACCAGTAATAAAGCAGCAATCACCTAGGTCAAATAAGCACTTTATCTATTTTATGTCACTGGGTCAATTCACACAGAAGATGTACATTTATGTCTTCAAAGAACAGAAACAGAAACACACACACACACACACATACACACTTATCTCTTTTAACCACAATTATAAAAGCCAAAGATTGTAAATTTCTTTTCACATCACAGTGAAATAATTGACAGCACACCCAAGATGCCAGAGCTCTGGTGCAAACCCCCAGGATGGATAACTGAAGTCTATACAAAACTTTAAAAAAAATACATTCTATTTTTTTAAATAAGCAAAAAAATAAAATAAACTATAAACCTTATATTTGAACATATACATGAACACCTCTCTATGCAATGTGATTTGGAATTACACTGTAAAGCCTTCCAATTCAGAAATGCTATCTCCATACACATCAAAAAGTGAAGCCTAGACTTCCATTATTTAAGAATTCCCATGGGTTCCAACATTGTTCTTTTAAAATGCTCTTGACAGGGATTTCCATAAATTAATTAGTTGATGAATGCCTTAACTAGGAGCAAGTTTGGTGGAGCGTGTGTAGAGTAGAGTAGAAAAAGGAAACTGGAATCACACACTCTCCTGTCAAAGGTACCAGGATCTGAAAGAATAATCCACAAGAGGCAGGAGATAAAAGTTGGAGTCCATCTAATCAACTTATGTATCAGATTTCTTATTAGAAAAATGAGAAGGCTAAATTTGATTATCTTGAACTAGTCCAAAAATACCACTTTTGTGAAGTGAGGTAGGTTTGGCTAGAAGTGTAGGAGCAAACACAAGGGCTAAGAATGGGGAAAACAAAATGTTACTAATGGTGGTCAAAAAAACACTTTCAGAGAAAAGAAGGAAGTCACTAAGAAAATGTCTCCACAATTGTAATTTTGCCAAAAGGTTAATTAAATGTGTTAAAAAGAGAAATCATAGTTCTACAGAAAAATTATAATGTCCCAGGTGTAAAGAGATTATAAATAGAAATACAGAGGGAACAATTCTAGAATCATCTTGGGTCATAGCTTTCTTCAGATCTTTATTAAAACACTGAAATGAGCCCTGGCCGGTTTGGTTCAGCGGTTAGAGCGTTGGCCTGCGGTCCAGAGAGACCAGGGTTCAGTTCCTGCTAAGGGCACGTACCTTGGTTGCAGTTAGTCCCCAGCCCTGGTTGGTTGTGCGGGTGGCAGCCACAAGATGTGTCCCTTTCATGTCGATCTCTTTCTCTCTCTCTCTCTTCCTCTCTCTCCCTCCCACTCTACCTGAACAAAAAATGAAAAAATGTCCTCGGGTGAGGATAAAAAAAAAAACTAAAGTAATGATTAGCAGTGTTGATGGGTTTCCTGATAAATGGAAAACACTGACTTTTATGTGTTCTGTTAACAGCACTAGCCCTAAAATGACTACAGTAAAATTCACTCCTTTATTTATAGAAATTTTATAGTATCTATTATGTGCTTTTACTGGATGTGAGAACAAACACAATGATGAAAAAGACACCTCTACTCTTAAAATTGCAACATAATGCAGAAGATATGACAAATACATTAGTAAATACAATGAGGTATACTGTAACTGGGCTAAGTAAAGGTTAGGTTTTTGGAAAAAGAGTTAGAGTTCTTTTTATTTTTGAAAGATCATAGTTCCTTCACATACTAATTCACACTAACCAAAGTCAGAAATTTCTAAGGACAAGTTTAGACACTTATTAAAGAACAGCAGTTCCTGAACCATCTGCTTTGTTCAAAAATAAAGATCTGTCACAGGCAAATTTTCATTTTACTCCAACCCTGTGAGAATATTATTGTCAACTGGGGTAGGTAACATTTGGTTTATAATTGACGTGGTGAACAAACTACCCTTTCTAAAATGGCTACAATCAGTGCCTCATTTGGGTGAAAAAGGAAAAAAAAGCAAACTATCCTGACTCTAATAGTTACTCACGTTCAACAAGTTTCTTTGATCCATTTAAGTGTCTTATTACTAATCTTCTGATGAAGAAATATGTAAAACACAGCATTTAGAGTGAACAACAGAACCTTGTTATAGTTAGACAAAGATATATGACACAATACCTTGAAAGTTTTTTTTTAAAGGAAATCATTTCACAAACTCATACCATACAAAACTACAGATTATAGTAGACCAATACTATATTCTTGCTGTATTCTTACCTGGTAAGGAACAATACTGCCATGAGCTGTGCCCCAACGTTTTGCTTCTTTTTGGCCAATAAGATAATTAGCAGCTACCTGGGTTAAACATGCCACCTACCAGAGGGAAAAAAAAAAGCTAGTGTATTTATACTCACTTATTAACAAAAGGTTATAATATGAAAGTTCTAATTTGATTTCACTTTATGTCATTGTAGAAGATAAAAGAGAGAGAAAACTCCCAACAGTTTAGAAAATATGCAGACATCCACCTTTCATTATACAAAAAAAGGGAGAACAGTATTATATTTAGTGCATGAGACTAACTACTAAGTAATGGTCACCTGAGAAATATAAACATAGAAACATTAACTCCTGAAAAGATCATCTAAACACAGAAGCAGATGGAATCTGGTCTAGCCTTTAGCATCAAACCCTTAGCAAAATACATCAGCAACCATACAATCCTTTCCCCTCTCCACCTGTCCTTTTACTTTCCATCAAGATGACACAAAAAGAGAAGTGTCATCACTGAACAGGTAAACCAAAGTCAGGAGCCACATTACTTTAAACTTGTCATTAAATAAATAAATAAACAAACCTCTATTTCGTTTTAATTCATAGTGAATCACCCTAATTTAAACAAAAATTACTGTACCTTTCCCAACTTGCTTCTGGCCCCTGGGCAGAGAAGCATAGTTCAAGAAGTATAGTTCTATGAAAGGGGTTGTCTAAAACCTCTATTGCTAAATTTCATACATAGATCTTGAAAAACCTACAATGATTCAATTCCATATAAGGATAACATGAAGATAATAACTTGTTCCTAGAGATCTACCACAAGAAACTTATGTTCCAGTGAACATCCATGCCTCCAAGGGCCCAGAACCATGGAAAGGAAGTGACCTAACAACTTTTCAGTTTCAAAAAAAGAAGCTTCTCAACTCCTAACATAATGAAGATATAACATGACCTTTATTTTCCCATTCCAAATCATCAGATGTGGTTGGGAATCTACCAAGCCAGCAAGTCAAACATATTCCACAGAGATTGGCTCCAGCAACAACAACTCAACAGGTGATTTTCAAGACTTGGTGCCACAATCTATTATTTCCCTTTGCCTGGCATGGCACCTGTGCTTCCTATGAGGGTTATCAATGGGGCCCGGTCTGAATGAATCTCCTTACAGCAGCAGCCATTCTCCTTTACCATATTCTTGGGATTTACGCTGACTTTTATGTTCATTTAATGCTCTGTTGAAATTGGAACTGCCTTATGGCTGCTGGTTCGGCTGTACTGCCCAGGTGGCAAAACTAATAAACTTTAGTCATCCACTTCTGGACCACCATCTGGTCTTGGGCATTTGAACCATGGAGCATTACAGGAATGCCTGGAGCTGCCTAGAATTAATCACCATTTCACAGATCACTTCTGTGCCTTTCAAAATGAGAAACCAAATCAACATTTGTAGTGAAAATGCACTGGATGGGAAGTCCAGATTCATGGTTTCTAATTTCAGTCAACCCCTAAATAGCTGTACATCTGTACATGTATAATTTAATTAGTTTGACTTTCAGGTACATTCTCTATAAATATCTTCAGCATTTGACCTAAACCAAAACCAATTTTTTCAAACTTTTTATAAAAGAGCAGAACTCTTATATTAAGCCACATAATACATGAAATCCTAATATACAAGCAGATAATAGCCCTGAGTGCTCTGAGGCAGAGGCAGACCTAGAATCCCACTCTAGGCAACATGAACTCAGAATACAATTTGCAAAATAGTAAATGTTCTTAAATTTGCTTCCAAGTTCTATACACTTCTGACTCATTACTCTTCTTAACAGTCTGGCAGATAAAAAGATAGCAGGGATGCAATAGTAGTAATTTTCTTGTGAGGCTTTTCCTGAAGTTGGGGACATTTTCTCCATTCTGAGGTTTTTATATTTTCATATCTATAAGAAAGGCCCTTCATTATTCTAGCTATGTTGTGTGTGTATGGTGGGTGGGGCAGCAGGGGGCGGTTCCTTTCAAAAACATTCTGGTTAAAGCACTTTCTAAGGTGCTCTAGTGTTACTGGAGGCAAAGAATTCACATTAATACAAGTAATTATTTGCAAGCAATTAATCACAACAGGCTTGGTGTTTCCATATCTCTAATTTCAAAGTCAACTAACAGTCAATACAGCAACATCAGCAAGGACTGCATGAGGTAGTGGTCTGACTGGGTGATCACAGGTTAACCTGTAAATCCTACATTGATCTGAGAAAACTGCCAGGGGCAGTCATAAGCTGGATTCTACCTTGCTATCCCATTTCTTGCTCACTATCTCATTCTCTCTTATTAATATTGGCTTCTGTGTTTCCAACACTGCCTCAATAAGTTATCTTTGACAACTACTAATAAAAGTATCCCCATTTAGACAGTTTGAATGAAGGGTAAAAACTCATCTCACAGATTGTTTCTAAATTATTTCTAAATGGAATACTATATCCATTTTCTCCATACAGTGATGATTCATTAAAACAAAAAATATTTCAAAACTAGTGAGTTCCTACTGGGCAGAATGATTAAATAAGATTTGAAGACAGTTGTCATCCAAAACCAACATGTGACTTGTCAGTGAATAGTCAGAAGAAAAGTTGGAGGAAAAAAAATTCTACTTTGAAAAAAGAGAGCAACTGGGCTAAACTTAGTAACCCAATGTTTAAAAGAGGTGTAACGGATATGAAAGTCATCTACTATTTGCAAGGATGTATATATATTAAGGCAGAATAAGGGGGAGAAAGTCACCATCTATGATCTGATTATTTTTGAAAAATCAGAGGCTTCCTGTCAATCAATGACAAATTTTCCTCAAATCAAATAAACATAAAAGGTGATTTTTTGGTTAATAATTACATAATGTACATCCATTCTAAATATTGCATTAGATCATTACTATCATCATGTGGATGTTATATAATTTACTCAGAATATTGCATTTCTATGGTTTCATCTAAACAAACAAAAAAAGCCATCTTTCATTTAATGATATTCATTCTGACAGCAAAACTATTATTTTAAATAACGTAGTAGATCTTGATATTCTTTGTCTGACCAGAAAACCAATGGGATGAAAAATTGGACAGCTACATGCAACTTACACCATACCAAAAAAAAAAAACACCTCAAAATGGTAAAGACTTAAATGTGCCTCATGAATCCATAAAAATCCTAGAAGAAAATGTAGACATCAAAATTTCAGACATCACAGGTAGCAGAATTTTCACTGATGCAACACTTAAGGCAAGAGAAAAAAAGGAAAACATGAACACATGGGATTACATCAAACTAAAAAGCTTCTGCACAGCAAAAGAAACAACCATCAAAATGGAAAGGGGACCCACTATATAGGAGAGTATAATTGCCAATGATACATCAGATAAGGGGTTTATTTCCAAAATATATAGAGTACTCATACAACTCAACAAAAGGAAAACAAAGAATTCAATTAAAAAATGGGCAGGGGACATAAAGAGATACCTCCCCAAACAGGACATACAAATGGCCAAGAGACATATGAAAAAATGCTCAGTGTCACTAATCATCAGAGAGATGCAAATTAAAACATCAATGAGGTATCACCGCACACCTGTTAGAATGGCTGCTATCAACAAATCATCAAACAACAAGTGCTGGCCAGGGTGTGGACAAAAGGGGACTCTAGTACACTGCTGATTGGAATGCAGACTGGTACAGCCACTATGGAAAATACCATGGTGTTACTTCAAAAAGTTAAAAATTAAACTGCCATCTGCCCCAGTGATTCCTGTTCTAAGAATATACCCTAAGAAGCCTGAAACACAAATCAGAAAGAATGTATGTACCCCTATGTTCATAGCAGCACTATTTACAATTGCTAAGATCTGGAGAGAGCCCAAGTGTCCATTAACAGATGAGTGGTTAAAAAAGCTGTGGTACATATCCACAATGGAATATTATGCAGCTGTAAGAACGATCTCTTATCCTTTGAGAGGACTTGGAGGGACCTTGAGAGTATTATGCTAAGGGAAATAAGCCAATAAAAGCCAATACCACATGATCTCACTTATTTGTGGAATATAATGAACAAGGTGGGCTGAAGAATGAAATAGACCAAGAGACATAGAAATGAGTATGGTTCAAACTGACAAACCTCAGAGTAAGGGGGGTGGGGGAGGATGGATAAGATGAACCAAAGAACTTATATTAATGTATGCATAACCAATTGACATAGACAAAAATGCTGGGGGGGTTGGGGGTGGGATGAGGAGAAAGGCTTCTAACGGGGGAAAGGAGAAACATCTGTAACAAAAATAAATTAATAAAAATTCAAAAAAAAATAAAGACTATATGCCCCCTATGTTCATAGCAGCACTATTTACAATCGCTAAGATCTGGAAACACCTCAAGTGTCCATCAATAGATGAGTGGATAAAAAAGCTGTGGTACATATACACAATGGAATACTACGCAGCTATAAGAAAGAAAGATCTCTTATCCTTTGAGATGACATGGAGGGACCTGGAGAGTACTATCCTATGCCAAACAAGCCAATCAGAGAAAGACAAATATCACATGATCTCATTATAGTCCACTAATTTGTGGACTATAATGAACAAAACAAACTGATAAACAAAATAGACCCAGAGACATAGAAGTAGGGTACAGACTGGTAAACCTCAGAAAAGGGGGGCGGGGGGAGGGAAGAGATAAACCACAGAACTTATATGCATGTATGTGTAACCATGGACATAGACAACAATGCTGGGGATGATGTGGGGGGAAGGGTCAGGAGAGGGTGTCAATGGGGGAAAAAGGAGAAACATCTGTACCAAATTTTTTTTAAATAAATAAATAAAAAAAATTTTTAAATATCCTTTTCAATTAGGTAAACTTCTACAAATTAGTTTGACCTTAATTATTATATAATACTTAATGTAGTACTAGTTCACCGTTTTCTGCTTTGCTGCAACTACGTCTTGGCTTCTACTCCAATGTAACTAGAAATACATTTCAATCTATAAACATTTTACCTGTAAATACTGAAAAACCAATAAAGCTCTTATATAATTTTAAAGTCTCTACTTTTA